TCTGTATCGTATAAAACATTTTCTTCCCACAAAATCTAAAATCATGCTTGTCCATTCGCTCATATTATCCATAATTGAATATGCAGATGTGTGTTACCCAGATCTGTCCCAAGATCTTCTGAACAAACTGGAACGCCTTCTTAACAACTGTATAAGATTTATTTTCGGGCTTCGTAAGTATGACCATATATCTCAATATAGATCTAAGCTAAATTGGCTTACAATCCGTCAGAGGCGCAATTACAGAATACTGCTTGTTCTTTTTTCCATTTTAAATGATCCATCTTCGCATTCTTATCTTAAGAGTAAATTTCACTATCTCTCCTCATCTCATGATAGAGTCCTACGTTCTTCTTCTAACAACAAAATCTGTATTCCTGTTCACTTCACCGAGTTCTATGGCAACTCCTTCACAGTTCAGGATACACGCCTTTGGAACTCCTTGCCCGATGACATCAGAAAAGCACCCAATAAGTATGTTTTTAAAAAGTTAGTTAAGTAGCTATTGAAGACAAAGCATTTTACTTGATTCATTTGATATGTATTGCTAAACAGACGCATATATTCATAGGTATTTGTATGTACTAATTATAAATTATGTATTTAAATATGTATATTTGTATATATGTTTGTATACGTCATATATGTATAGTTTATTTATTGGTAAATTGTATGTATTATGTAGTTAATTATTATTTTGTGTAGTGTTATTTTATTCTATATTGCCGCACCTACTTCAAATTCTCACCACTCCATGGGTTGACTGCTAGAGAATGCAGAAACATAGCTCCGTTACAAGGATTGAATTAAAATTAATTTAAGCTTACATTGTCCAAACTCAGTTTCTTAGTGGAGATTTCTGCGTTTACTCCGTGAATGAGCTTGTTAAATTTATTTATTTATTATTCAAACACAGTTTATCTACCTGGTGTTTGTTTTAAATAATTTAATGATAACACATCTCTTTCATACCAATTTTTTTTTTATAGGAGAGGGGGCAAACGAGCATGCGTCTCACCTGATGGTAAGTGACTACCGCCGCCCATGAACAGCTGCAACACCAGGGAGGGAATCGCAAATGCGTTGCCGGCCTATTAAAAGGGAGTACGGTCTTTTCTTGAAGGTCCCTAAGTCGTATCGGTCCGAAAAAATCGCTAATGGTAATCGATTCCACAAGGAAGGCGTGCGAGGAAGAAAACATCTTCTAAATCGCACAGTGGTGGATCGCCAATCATCCAGATAGTGCGGATGGTATCGGGAGTTCTGCCGCGATGCGCGTTCGTGAAATCTGGCGGCTGGGATTAATCCGAACAATTCCTCAGAGCACTCCTCGTGGTAGATGCGAAAGAAAATGCAAAGGCATGCAACATCTCTTCGCAGTGCCAATGAATCGAGCCGATGAGAAAGGACTCGGTTGTCGACGATTCGAGCCGCTCTGCGCTGGATGCGGTCAAATGGAAGGAGCTAGCACTGGGGAGCACCTGCCCAGAGATGGGAACAGTATTTCATGTGAGGCCGAACCTGCGCCTTGTAAAGTTGCAGGCGGTGTGCCGACATGAAATACTGTCCCGCTCTGCTGAGCACGCCAAGCTTTTTAGAGGCCAATTTGGCCTTGTCTTCCAAGTGACCACGAAACTGCACGTCACTCGATATGTCGACTCCGAGGATACCGATACTGGCTGAGGCAAGAAGGGGAGTGCCTTGAAACTGAGGAGATACGACAAAGGGGTTCTTTTTAGCGGTAAACGCGCAAACTTGTGTCTTCTAAGGATTAAACTGGACTAGATTTAGTCGCCCCCAATCCGAGACTCTGTTCAGCAAAGAATCGACTTCAGACACAAGTTTGTTCCGGTACTCGGCGACATTTTCCCGAGAAATATTGGCACGACCGGTGTATAGAGCATCACCAGTGCCGTTATCCGCATAGCAATGAATGTTACCAGTTAGCAACATATCATTGATATGCAGAAGAAACAGCGTTGGTGATAGCACACAGCCTTGTGGAACACCAGCGTTAATAGGCTTGTAGTCGGAGCATGCACCGTCTACAACGACCTTGATGCTCCGATCTGCAAGGAAGCTGGTGATCCAATCGCACAATTAAAAGACTTGACTCAATACTCCGCAAAAAGTTTTGATACTGTTGCAAATATGAAACCTATTTAATAATATTTACATCTATAATACTTTTAAAGCTATTGACATTTTAGAAAAAAAATCCTTATAGACCCAGTTCCTTGTTTAAATTTCAATGAATTTTTTATTTTATGTTTATAACCCAGATTATCATCCGGTGAGCGTTGTGAGAGGTGACAGAGAGAAACTAAACAGAAGACTAACAGCGGCATCTTCCTGGTAACAGCTCAAAACAATAAATACTGCGGCCGCCAAACCATCTTCCAGGCAACTATGGCAAATATCCTTATTAGATAATTTATGCGGGAGGTCTACAATAAGCAGTGAACTTATAAAAAGCTTTAATGATTTAGTGAATAAATAAATATTAAATAATAGTAAAGGCTAAGAGTAACTTATTACTTTATTTGTCATCGATACCTATTTACCTATTTTATATACGATATTGTTTGCTTCATTCGGTAATTATTGGGGCTTGAAAATTAAAACCTCTCACTATCTTATACTCGCGCGAATAGAACAAAAGCACGGCAACACATGTGCGACATAATATGAAAATTAAAACAGGGTCAAACATAACGCTCGATTCTCACGCAAGAGGTGAAATGGGGTCGATAATATAAAAAAAATACACAGTTTCGTGGTATTAATAAATAATATTTTAATCCATATTTTAACACGTCTTTATTATGGAACACATTTCCTATTTATACAAGTAATTGAGTAATAACTTTTAATTTAAACTACAGTAGTAGACAGTACAGTAGTTTGTAGTACACTAGAAGTGACAAACGAATTTACAGTCCACCTGGTGGCAAATTGTATACGGTAGCCCATGGACACCTGCAAAAAACAAAGCAGACTGAAGTTTGCTTGACTGATAGACAACAGATGCGTTGTCTTCTCTGAGGACAAAGATAGAATTTCTCACAGCCTGTCAATATATAGCCATAGCAATTTAGAGTAGTGGATGCTACCTAGGACTTCTTTTATTTTTACTTTATTTATTATATTTTTATTATAAATTTGTTAGTTTTTAAAAACATAATTTGTATTGCTAATAAAGTGTGTGCTTAGTTACATAAAAACACGGATTATTTTAAAAGTGTCGGTTATGTCGATATCTCTGACACTGCATGTATACAACTTGGCACTACAATACATTTTTAGTTTTTTTTTATAGGACAAGGGTGACAAACGAGCACAAAGTGCACCAGATGTTAAATGGATCTGTGGTCCATAGACATCTACATCCGTCCTCGATTACGAATCAAAACACAGATGCCGTGTCACCCGTGAGGACTAAGTTGGAATTCCTCGTTTCCAGTAAAAAGGGCCTCTGGTTAGCTACATTTACAACAGCCTTAAACTGTTACTTTACGCTGATATTCTGTGAGAGCGTAGATCTTTCGTGTTACAACTATATCACTAATATAGCTGCAGTATGGTTTTTGGTTTTTTTAAAATTTTGAGGGTCAGAATCAGGAGAATACTGCTGTTTTATTTCCCTCTGTCACCTCTTACGACTTCTATGATATGGTAGTGGTTTCACTTACGCAGCCTCTACTCAATATCTCTTAATTACTATTATATTTCAAATAGTTTACAAGTATATATAATGTTGAGTAAATGGTTTCGGTGTAGCATCATGGTTACTTTGTTCATAAGCGTAGAGAACTTAAGTTTAGTATACTTTTGACGGCTCCGTGGCGCAGTGGCTTAGCAATCAGTTGTTGCGCTGGGGGCCGCGGGTTAGAATCCCGCACGAAACTTGTAGGTCATACAAATACTTATTTGTATGACCTACAAGTAATTGTTCCGGGTCTGGATGTTTGTCCTTGTGCAATTTATGTTTGTAAACTGCCTCCACGACACAGGAGATAATTCTAGTGTGGGAGTAACGTTTTTATTTTTTTAAAGAAAAAATAAATAAATATATTTAGTGCTGATTAAAACATTTGAGTGAACTGATAGTGTAAGTACTGTTTTCTATACATCAAAATATAAAGGTATGGAATATGTTTTTAAAAATGTTACTGGAAATAATTTTTTCCGACGATAGTAATCGCGATAATTTATAGAGACTTTCACAAGTAAACGACCTCATAAATAATAAGTATTTAAAGGCCGTTAGGCGTGCACTACATGTAACAACGATTTTAATTATTTTTATGAGGGCACGTTGTTTACATTTCATTTAATTAATATTTTTAACAATATTTAAAAGCACTTGATTAATGTCTGCACTGTAAATGTAGCCGGTATTGCAATAATTAAATATTAAAAGAAGGTTATATAGGTTTCTGTATGTAACTGGTTGAAATGGACATCAGCGTGAGGGTTCTAGTATCGATTTTTTTAGAGTATATTTTACAAAATATATGGACGTTCCCTGTTTTATTGTATTCAATATAAAAATATAAATATAACTGCAATATAATAAGATAACCCTAATAACGAGCGCAAAGGAATGCACCTCACACTTTATCTCGTATGTGTCGTAAGAAGCAACTATGGAACAGGAAACATGCCCTAAAGATTGCATAAGCCTCTGGTATGAGCGTCAAAGGTACTAGGCATAGCAGTTATGAAAGTCAATTCAATTTACTATGGTCCAGAAGAATAAGTAATACTCCATCATATCTTCCATCTCCCCACCAAGCGTCGTGACAATGGCATATATCCTTCCTATGAGGCAATCTTTAGAAAGGGCTATGTTCAGCAGTGGACTTTTGATAGACTGCAATGAATGAATAGTAAATATAATAAAACTATAAGTAATAAACCTAATGAATACAATTATGAAAATAACAGGCATACTCGTAACAGATGAGAAAAATCCTTTGTAATAACGAAACTATTTGTTAGTGCTGCAGTCCGTTCATGACGGTCACTACAAAGCTTTTGTATACAGGAACACATGCATTTTCTTCTAACGTTTTGTATTCGAAGTACGTGTATGCTACAGTTCCCACACGTGTTAGAAGTTTCATTTGAAATACACCGTTACCGATACGTTTATTTTCTCCGTTCGATTTCAAAGCACCTTCAAAATAAATAAAATTCAACAATGAATTCGTAAGTCACAACATATGGCTCTTAGAACGACTAGGGTTGGACGTTTCCTTTTGTATTTCAGTTTTGCATTAAATTAATTTTCGCTTATAACTTGCAATCATACCGGTTGGTAACCTTTGATTAGATCTTTGGTTTAAAAGAAAAACAAAGCAAAAAATGTCTTTGCCTGCAAAGCACTGTAATATGAACTTTGCTTTACTTAAATTTATTTCGCTGTCTCAAGGATCACATTAAGTTATTTTCTTTACAAGTATATTTCTTTAAATCCAAAACAAATGTTTTTGTAAAAATAATATTTAGTAAGTTGTGAAAGAACATCCACTAGGTGTAGTGGATGTTCTTTCACAACTTACTTAATATTATTTATATATTGTCCATTGAGTGTCAGAGATGGCAGAGGGAAATAAATAAAAAATTGAATGCTAAACTACGGTTGCCAAACAACTTGCCAATTCAGCAACAATGGTAAATATCCCCCCTCCTCTATAAGAAAATCTATGGGACAAGACTTTGTACAACAATGGAATTTAGATAACAGGTCGGGGAAAAGTTTCTTCGTATTTTATATACAAATACAAGACATTTTTTTCAAAGTTTTAATATAAGAATTAAAATATATATAAGCCATTTCGTTCGATAACTTGTTACCATATTGTAGGTAGTGACATAATCCCGCTGCTATAAAAATCTTGGGATTATTGATCAAAAAAATGTGACAAGTAGTTTTGACAGTCCTGTATTGATGTTAACCTAACACTACCCAAAGAACTCTGAAGAGACTGAAACAGGTAAAAATCTGAGGGTGTAGAGTCAGGGCTATATGGTGGGTGTATAAACACTTCCCAACCAAGCTCTCTCAATTTTTGCTGAGTGGCCAAATATGTGTGTGGTCTGGCGTTATCATGACGAAAGATCACTCCTTTTCTGTTGATCCATTCCGGCTGTATTTTCTCAATTTCTTGCTTGAGTTTCATTAGTTGTTGGCAATAAAGACTCGAATCGATAGTTTTGTTCCGCGATAAAAGCTCATAACAAACTATTCTCTTTCAATCCCCCGAGTCTGTGGAGCTGGACTACCCCTTAAACATTTTTTTCGCACGTTCTTGTCGTAGATGACCAATTTTTTTATCACCAGTGATCAATTTTTTTCAAAAGTAATTCGCTTTTATTACGTTTCAATAGAAAATCGCAAATGAGTACACGATTCATTAGGTTTCTTTCAGTGAGCTCGTGTGGTACCCTAACATCGAGCTTTTTTGTATAGCCAAACTTTATCAAATGGGTCGCAACTATTTTGTGGCCAATGCTCAATTTCTTTGCTATGCCGTAATTACTCGTATGCCGATCTTGCTCCACTTTTTCAAAAATGGCATCGACTTTATCCGTATGAGGGCAACAAGAGCAAGATTCCCGGACTGAAAACAATACAATAACAATAACTTTATTTCAGGCATCAAGGACTTAAAAATTAAGAACATTGGCCCATAGCAATATATACCTTAACCTAAAAATATATATAAAATATTGACATAACTTAACACTATTTAGGGAACTTTTTTCTTTGGCGCGTCCCTGTATCGGCGAAACACTACCCCAGAGGGCCAGAAATCGGGAGCGAGGAATGTCTCTTTATGTTTTGCAGGAACCTGGAGTACGTAGGATTTGAAGTTCGTTGACCTATTAGACTCCAGACGCTGCAAATGTAAAGAGATCGGATCCTCAATGCGGCATCGGCTTCGTTCTTCCACGAAGCGCAGGACGTCTTCTTCCGACGTACTTCTGTCCAAACGGGAGATGTAGAGTTGTATGGTTGGCTCCACAGCACGCAAAGTTGTACTCGCGTTTATTTTCGCGGTCCCACGCTGGTTACAGACGGGTCGCGACCGACGTCTCTTCTCAACAAGAGTAAACCCGTCCTTATCAATCTTGTCTTGGGTCACCACTGGAACTGATTTTATTTCCACATTCTTCCGCTTTGGACCACAAGAGGGTGCCGGTTGTAAAGATTTACGGGCAACATCCGCAAACGTCTTCCCTTGTTTTGAGGTTGGCTTCGGCGGAGGAGTACCAATGGGTTCAGTCAAGGGTTGAGGTGGTGATGCAATGACGACCGAGGTCGCCCTAGTTTCTCGGTCATCAACCCGCTGACAGACGGTATCGCGTGACGGAGTCGCAATCATCGGTGAAATATGACTACTATTACGGTTACCGCGTGTCGTATTCACATTCTGCGACGACGGTGAATTTGCAGATGTTGCAATTATGTTGCGCAACATATTGACTTCGTTCCTCAGCTCTGTTGCGGCTCGTTCTGATTTCTCAAATTTGGAACGGATGTCGGTAATATCGGCTCTCAACGTGGTGATGTCTTTCAACAATCTGGTGACGTCTACGTGATCGAACGTCACGGGAGGCAGCTTGTTGAGATCACGCGCGACGAAAGTTGGGATGTCATCAGGGTCGGTCTCATTGAACAGCCTGAAGATGTCTTGCAGGTCTTTCTTACCGCGTCCATCCCTGTGACGTGTGATAAGACGGATTTGGGTCACGGCTGAATCTGCTAACACCTTCTTCGCTTGGATGATCTCGTCCTCGGTGAAGCTTGTCATCAGTATCTGCTCCAGAGACACCTGGTCCATGACGTCCAATTTTTGTTGAACAAAGGCCAGCAACTCGTGGATTACGACGGTTTCGGAACGTTTAGGTTGGCACGCCATTTCGAATTATTTTTGCGCAGTAGGTATGCTTACGCTACAAAAATACTGTAAGTTCGGCATTAGAGCCGTCACGTCATTATGAAGCGACTGCACTAACCGGTAGTAGAATTGCGACTGACGCTTGAACCAACTTTGTGTTATTCTTACTGACACTGCATTAGGTCCATAAACATCACAAATATATTCGCGGTTTGAGTCGCATTTTTCCCTTCTTTTTTTCTTTTCAATTTCTTCGTTAGATTCACTCATTTTGACGGACAGAAAAACAATTGAAAAATGGCGGCAGTGTTTTGATTTTTATATTTCTTTTTCTTAATGTTCTATATGTATTGATATTAAAATCAACCATATACAAACAGTACAACCAACGAGAGTTTTCATCAATTTTATACAAACAAAATACGAAGAAACTTTCTCCCTGACTAGGAACAAAAATTAGCAATAATTTTAATGTAGATTGTCTGATGGTTGTACGTGGTCCCGTGTCTTTGTCTCATTACTATATATTTTTAGAATAAGCATCCAATTGATAATAAGATAAATTGTTTATAAAATAATAACTGTATCGTAGTTTTTTTATAATTATATATATATATATATATATATATATATATATATATATATATATATATATATCGACTACGATATACGACTGTATATCCTATAAATTTGCTACTTAAAATATTACCGTGAACACATCTGATCAATAAAATTATGGCGCGTTACACACAAAATATTATATTTAAAAAAAAATAAGCGATGCTTTTATTTTAATGCTAAAAGCAAGAGTAAGTAATGCACGTGATAATTAAATTATGAAATAAAACTTTTTGTATTTCTGTGCATATGCATTTCTGTATACTTGGCAAGATAATGATTTCTTATTATTGCTTTATCATCATCATCATCATCATCATCAAACTGCTGAATGCAGGCCAACCACAAGGAATGTCACAAAGCTCGCTGTTGAGCCACCTGCATGCATTGACCTCCTGAATTTTTTACCAGATGGTCACTCAATCTAGTAAGAGGCTGAATGTTATCACTTTATGTTAAAATAAAATTATTTTACCTTTCAAGTCCTTCACCTATTTATTATTATATCACCTCACTGACCTTTACCAATTTATCTTTATTTTGGTCTGATACACTACGACTAAATCGATTTTATTTAATAATTTTAACGTTCGATTTTATTTTAAAACGACTTCAAAAAAGAAGGAGGTACTTTATTTGTCGGAATCTTTTTTTTTTATGTATGTTCACCGATTACTCAAAGATGCCTGAACTGATTTGGAAAATACCTTTATTTATTTCAAGTATATACTTCTCAGGTGTACCACGTGGGAAGTATTACATTTAAGTTTTATCGAAATCGGTAGAGGGGTTAAAAAAAATCAACAATAATTTGTATTGATATTGAAATCGTTTGTACAAAATTTTAAATTAACCACTTATACTAAACATATTTGTAATCTTCACACATTCCTGGTTAGAATTGGTATTCTTTTGCAACGATTTCTGGTGTATCAAATTTGATGCATTGGCGGTCTTCAATGATGACATTTTTTATAAAACGGAAATCGCAAACAAACTTACAGTTCAGTCCCTATACTGTTGGTAAGTGGCTACTCTATGGACACCTGTAACCTCTGACGACTAAGATGGAAATCATCACAGACCGTAATTGTTCTCACTCTATACCCTTTAACGTGATTGGCTCCTTTGACGTAATTGGTATTTTACTCAAACGATCTAGATTGATGATTAATTAATCTAGATTAATAACCAATCAATCTGGATTAATAAACAATAAATCTAAATCTTAAATATATTAATCTAGGGTTAAAAGTTAATCATCACAAGTTTTTATATTAGTCTAAATCTTATTATTATTCTTCATTGTCTTAATTTTATTTAATCTCATGATACCAACCCTGGATAACGTAACTCTTGAACGTTGAAAAAAGCTTTAATACATAGTTGCTATGTGTCGATAATGTGATTTAGACATTTCACGACTAACGATATTTACTTTATACATACATATACAGTAGCCTTATATTGATGAACTTTTTGATCTGTGTTATGATAAATTTAGAGAGTATTTCGATGAAAGAAGCAGGGAAAAGGGAATATGGTATAAAACAATACAATGTCAGCCTCTTCGAATACCGTGGTATAACAATATTAAAATGAATAGAAACCATATAATTGTTATTCATAGATTACGTTCTGGGCACTACCCCAATAAAAAATTTGTATTTTTAATGAAAAAAGCAGACTCGCCCAATTGCGATATTTGTCATATTATAGAAGATGTACAACATATGCTAGCAGAATGTGTCAAATATCAAAGGGAAAGGGAGAATCTGGTACAAAAATTTAGTATCAATTTGTGTGAAACGGGTTGGTTTTTGAGTATACTTGCGGAGCCACACTCAGCGGTAGCAAAATCAGTCAGTACCATATTTTTACCACATTGATTGCCCCTTTCCAAATAGCATTGGTGAAACGGGAACAAGCTAGGTTACGATAAGGCTGACACATATCCTTGTAGGATAAAAGCCTTTTTAAATAAAGATAGATAAAAAAAAAAACTTTTTGATGTTGGCATGTAATCTGTTACTCTTTCATCGCTTCCCAATTTATAGTCGTAATTTTAGTACACAAAATAATCGCCAGACACTGTTCTGTCTATACAATGTTCGATGATTATCTAAATTTCAACAAATATTATTTTCTGTCTTATAAAGATCTTTAGCATATTCACTATTAAGGGTTTCTACAGTATTTGAGTACCGGCCAAAACAATCGAAACAGTGCTATGCATTTAACTACAACACAACAAGTTTTTATTTTAACATTATACGTTTGTCTGCTGGCATGCATTTTTCTTTTTTTTTATTAAAAAAGGATGAAAAACAGGCACATAGTCCACCTGATGGTAAGAAGAGCTGTATAGTGTTGGGGCCCATTAATATCTATATCTATCCACGACTAAGAAACGAAATACTGATGTGTTGTCACCCTGAGCACTAAGATGGAATGCCCCGTTTGCAGTAAAAAGGATCTCCGGTCTAAATCCCAACACAAAAGGACTAAGTAGCTCTTACATGGTGATATTTTGTGAGAACGTGGTTCTTACCCCAGTTGAGCCAACTTATCCGTGCTGCAAACATAATATAGCTGCAGCGTTTCTTAACGATTTGTAGGATCAGTCAGATTAGGTGAAATATCCTCGCACTGTTAATACTATTCCCGATTACTATTCTGTGGGTGTGGGTTCAATGTACTTGAATAGTATGTAATTTTGTATAAAAATTTGCCATAACGAACGCTTGATAGGCGAATGGGCAATCGAAATAACAGATATATCTTATCTTTAACATTGCTATCCATGATCGCCATGGTCTCTAGCCTTTTCCAATATCGCGTATTACAACACTCGCTGGACAAAATAAGATGATAGATTTTTTTATGTGTCCACAACTCAACGTTCCCCAATCAAAAGAAAATAAAATAATTAGAAGGCACATAAATTACTCGAAATTTAAACGACGTGACTCACTTTTAGTGACGAAAAACTAACTCGCTTAGTTAAATAATGATTTCTTATATTTACGCGAACACTACACATTTAAATTAAACTAGTTTTACGGATTATATCGCGTATATTAACTTCCTTCGTCTCCCCGACGTTTCAAGCACTTTAGAGCACCCATGGTCACGGGGGGGGGGGGGACTGAGGTATAACGTCCCAATGTCATAGTTAACCACGGCTACCTCCAGATAAAAAATTATTAATTTTTGTTCCGACCTACGCAGTATGAACTTACAGTATCTTGAAGTCTTGCAGTTGTATGCTTGGGTTGGAATTTAATTTTATTAATTATGGGATGGGATTCCAAGCAGATGGTAGCACCCAGCACCCATCTCTATTGAAATTAGGATGTTTTTTGATTTCAATAGCCTCGCGAATGATCCTTGGAAGGAATCGGTGTTCTTTAGCGACGATTTGTGGTCTATCAAATCTAATGTAGTGACGTTGTTGTTGTTGTTGACGTTGTGAAGAATCGACGCTCTGGGAAGTCTGCATGTTGGGATTTAATAAAATTAAACCCTTTTCCTAAAATTATACAAAAACATTTTTATTCATGTAATGCGTGTGCAGGTTTTCACTGTTTCATTTGCATTCTGGAATAATTAATGCACTTTTTTCTTTCCTTAAAATAATTGTAATTGAATATTGTACATTCAGCTTTTGGATTTATATTTTTGGATATTAATGTTTATTATAATTTTACCATGCAGAAAAATTTATAAATGTAGAGTCTTAGGGCCGCGCTTTTTAAAATTTTATTTGATTGATTGCCGTTATGCAAATGGTATGTGATTGTGAATTTTGAAGGGAATGCTAATGCTTGAGTGTGGGTATTCCTAGATATTTAAGTTTTCAATTTCGCAAACAATATTTACCATACTTGGCAAGCTGGCGATTCCAGTTTTCATTACTTTTGATTCATCAGGTATATGCTACAAGCTCATCTCTTGTTTCATTTCCCTGTCCCCTTTTATGATACTCATAGAGTGATATGTGGCAGTGGATTCTCTTACACCATCACGACAAATGGTAAAAGGTATGGTAAGGTATGGTAAAAAAAAATTACGTCATAGAAACACGTTGCAGTGTATTATTGCTAGACAGGTTAGCACGAATGGAAGGACCACGCATGCATTTGTTTCTCTCATTGGTTAACTATTTTAAATAACGAGGCATTTCATCCTAGTCCTCAGCGGCTACAATGAATCTATATTCCGATTTTTCCACAGCATGCACTTACCAATAGTTGTACTGTGTGCTCGTTTATCAGCCTTACTTCTATAAAGGGCGATTACAAGAATAAAATCTGTTAATATAAATTAAATGATTGTTTGAGTTTCATCCTTATTTATTTTGTTTAAGTGAGGTATGTGGACAATTACAATACTTAGCCTGA